GCACGGATTTATGTATTGACAACGTGAATCCGCGGGATTAATCTTATCTGTCTATTGAAATTGGCTAGTGAAAGCTTATTGCAACGTGTTCCGTTATAATCCCGCAAGGGAATGATTAGTCGATAAATGGATTGATTTGTTGTTGCGTGACTTCTGCGACGTGTATTCTCGTATAATCTGGAGTATAATATTTACAGTTGGATTATTGGTATCGATTAATTTGCTGAACAACAGCAGGTTGTTTATTCCTGAAAAATCGTTATCGTGCTTTACTTTTTACGAATCTTGAAATCTCATTTTAGAAGATTCTTCCAAATTTTTAAGTTCTTCGTACATTTAGAATCCGTTTTTTTCTTTTTTTTGGAATATGAATTCTTTTCAGCTTGTAAAAAATTTCTTTTTATTAATTATTAGTAGAATAATTTTCTTCGCAAAGAAGACGGATCAAAATCTGAGCCAGTTTCAACAAATTGTTATTACAACAAGTTGTGGTTATTATTATAAACTTGTAGTTATGGTACAATGTGAAAGACAGATTTTTTTTCTAAAATAAACGTAGCGATATAATATTCTTAAACTTGGGAACATATGTTATTAATTATCATTTTTAAATGTAGTTTCATTTATATGTAATAAAATCTTGTTTTTCGATAAATTTCAATTTTTATTTCATCAAAATAATTACGACAATCCAATTGTTTTCTTCAAGATTACTTTAAAACGTATTGCACCATCAGTTTTGTGGGAATTAAACGAGAGATATGAAATGTTGAAGATGTGCCAGGCGATTGGCAACCCACCTTACACAGTTGTATACAGAGTATACTTCGACAAGGCGCACATCTTTCACTAACGAAGCGCTCAGCAGTTAAACATTATAAAAGACAATTAGACGAGATTTTTTAATAATCGCGTCTAATAGAAAAATATTATTTAATGGTTGGTATCTAATTTCTAATTCTTCACGTGCACGAATTGAAAGACATCTACAATAAATACCGAAACACAGAAAATGAAGGAAACGAATTTCTTTCTTTGCTCTTTTATTTCTAAATTTAAAAAAAAAAAAATTTGTATCGATTAACGAAGCCTCTGCTATATTTTATTTTATTATATTATACTGCTATATTATATTTTATACTGCTGTATTATATTTTATTTTATTTTATTTATCTGCTATATTTATTATTATACGTTTATTATCAGTTTCTAAATTAAACTTGAAAGTGAAAAGATTTCTCAAGGAAAATGAGAATTTACTTCAAAAAATTTACAAGTGAAATTTCACCAAGGACCCACTTAACAGTTTGAAAGGTCCTAGTTGAAAAATGAGAGTATACATACAATATCTCAGAATTATATTTAAAACTTTTTTAAACGTAGTTGAAATTACTCGTAATTCATACGTGCGACAATGATCCAAGTAAACTTCTTAATCGTCTATTAGTTTGATTATAAATTAAATTAATTAAATAAAATAAAGCAGAAGAAATAAATCCATGTCTGATTGTTATAAAATACCTTCGGTATAATTGTAATTTTGTTATTAATATTATTCTTATTAATATAATTTCTATATGAACAATTAATTTTATATCTAATTGACGCAAACATATAATTCTTAAAAATAATATTCCAAATAAATTAATTATTATTAAATATAAATAAATTTTATTATTTTCCATAATAATTCCATAAATATTCCATACCTTTTTAATTTTAATATGACTGAAACATAAAATTATTGAACTAAGAAAAGAAGCTTCAACATGAGCCTTCAATAATCACCCACGAATTATATATATTGGAATTTTTACTGAAAACGATAAAATTATATAAATAAATTCAAAATTGTTAATATATAAAATATTTAATATTTCTAAAATATAAAAATTTAGTCTACAAGATAAGTTTAATAAATTAAATAATAAATGGCAAAGAAAATAATTTAAGAAAAATGAAACTATCCTATTCGTGTTTCTTGCAGTGTGTTTCACAATTATCTTCGACACAGTATCGGAGGAAAATAGGGAACACGCGATTATCGTTCGTCGTTTTCTTTACCTTATCTGTTGAAACCCTGTTCATCGAACGATGGGGCAGAGAATTTGGCAATATCTTGGCCGCTCCATTCCGCGGGATCGGGATATTCTATTCGCGTTCATGAGACCACGGGATTCATTCGGAAAAGTGTATTGTCCATAGCTCTGCTGCTGGGCTCCGTTTTACCCGGATGGAACATATTGAATCAACCAGCCGGAAGGAAACTCGGTTTCAGCGAAATATGCCACGAATTTCGGCTGCCGTCAATTCACCCTCGATCGTTTCTCCGGCTGCTTCCTCTGACGATTTCGTTTCTTCCCGAGGGTCCTCGCAGGACCTTCCGAGGAAATTCCTGCTGATGAAACTGTTTGGATCCGGCTGCTAAATTTATTGTTTAACACCGCTGACTATCGCGCGACTTTCATACACCTTTCCTTAGAAATCGTAACGTGATATAAATAATTCACCATGATTGTAATTTGTCGTAATATAATTTTTGTATAATTATATAAATAGCATTTTTCATCTGACTATTTGAGTCATTTGTGTTACTGAACATTTTTTAGTCGATGAAGTTTATTTTATCATTATGGTAATCAAATATGTTAATATACATTTAATTTTGCAAATGTTCTCCTACAGTTTCTAGAAAAATGTGTCCGGCAGACGACGATTTGTCTTAATGAAATATTTTCATGAAAGCCGATATATTCGTAAGTCGTACATTCAATTTAGATGTACTATTTTCAAGTAAATAATCGAAACGAGATAATTAATTTATGCTTGTTAATTTATACATTTTACTACCACTGAAAATACTAATGAATTCATCAGAATTATGCTTCTTTCTCCGACTGGTAGGACCAACCACTCACCACTCCTAAAGTTTCTGCTATTTTCTTCAAAATGTTCGAAGAGAATAAATCGCCGATCGCAAGATTATTTATCGCAAGATCGCGGATTATTCGCGGGGGGGGGGAGAACGGCTGAGTCGTTAAAAAGTTGTAACGAGCTGATCGGAGCGGGGCTTTTCAATTGTTTCACAGGGTAAGCAAGTTTTAATTGGACCGGCGTGTTTTTACGGGCGGCTGGTAATGCCGAGGGAATCGGTAATAGTGGCGATTTCGAGAGCTTATTTGCCGGAGACGTTAGTTACGCGAGAAAAGTCACGTTAGCGGCTCGGGATTCAATGCGATTCCGATTAAACGCGGTCTGTTTGCCCGAATGTACGCGACGAATAGACAAGCTGCCTGCTACAGAGCCTCCACCGACCACTCTACGCAACATTAACCCGCCCCTCTGTACCACGATAATATACCACCCTATCCTACTTGATAAATGCTGCTGTGTCCGAATAAACTTGCTTGTTATACAGTCGTGGACCCCCACGGTTTTAGACAATTTGTTAATGGTCAACTAATCGTTTCACTTCTGTGTTATAAAGTACTAAGCTCTTACTAATTTGCATTTACAATACTCTTTTAATTTGTTTGGACGGTCAGATTTTTCACAGCGCCTTCTGATTATCTGGTGATAGATAAATTATTTGTAAATCTAAAGTGTATACTATAGATAATTATTTGTAAATCTAAAGTATATACTGTAGATAATTATTTGTAAATCTAAAGTACTTACCATAAAAAGTATATACTATAGTATACTATAGCATAGTGTAGTATAGTGTAGTATAATATAGTATAGTACACTAAGTATATACCATAGATAATTATTTGTAAATCTAAAGTGTATACTATAGATAATTATTTGTTAATCTAAAATACTTACCATAAAAAGTATATAATATACTATGGTATAGTATAGCATAGTGTAGTGTAGTATAGTATAGTATAGTATACTAAGTATATATACCATAGATAATTACTTGTAAATCTAAAGTATATACTATAGATAATTATTTGTTAATCTAAAGTACTTACCATAAAAAGTATATAATATACTATGGTATAGTATAGCATAGTGTAGTGTAGTATAGTATAGTATAGTATACTAAGTATATACCATAGATAATTATTTGTAAATCTATAGTATATACTATAGATAATTATTTGTTAATCTAAAGTACTTACCACAAAAAGTATGTAATATACTATAGTATAGTATAGCATAGTGTAGTGTAGTATAGTATAGTATAGTATACTAAGTATATACTATAGATAATTATTTGTAAATTTAAAATACTTACCATAGTAAGATTAATATAGTTTGTCTTTTAAAAGGAGCAAAATTGGGGATTTAGAATATTTTTTAATAATTACCCAATTATTTCATTTCTTTTTGAATTTATTTGGCTGATCAGATTCTTCGTCTTTTCATCCGTATTTGGCGATAGATTGATGGTTTCTTAATACAGCTTGCCATTTAGAAGATTGAAGATTGATCATTCCATTTTTATCCTTAATTGTAAGATTCAAAGATTGATATAATCTTCAATCTTAGGGATAAGATGAAGTTTATAGATTACGAATGGGAGATTAGACAAATATACTAATCAGAATAAATAGAGAATTATTTTCTCCTTGGTAATGGATCGATTGCTTTTTAACATGGCTTCGTTTTTATAAGGGGTAAGATTGAAGGTTGAAAATGTTTCAACATGAAGATGATTGCGAATAAGAGATTAGATGAAAGATTAAATCTCGAAGATAAAATCCCTGTTGAAAATAGGGAGAATGATTGTAGTTGGAAGATTATTTTGTATTTTTATACCTATTGTTTGTGTCTGTAAACTTGTTTTGTACACGTCAATTTATTATCGAGAAATTGATACTCTTTCAAGTCCCTTCTTTCTTTAAATGATAGATGAATGATCAAATTATTCTCATTGTCTTTCAGCTTCTTTTGAAGAGATCAGATTGAATGGATTTAAGATGTTTCAAGACTATGAGTATGGATTAGACGAAAGAGTTAATTAAAGGATTATTTTCCTGCGTACAAGATTTCATGTACCTGTTGTATTAATTATAGACGCCAGATGTCGCAGAGATCGTTTACAGAATTATCTCAAGACGAAAGATATCTCGACACGTTGAAAACGTTTTCGATAATTGTTTTTGAAATGGAAATAAAAATTACTCGCTTGTAAAGAAATTTATCAAAGAATAAAAACGATAAGAGAGTAATAATTTAACTTGATTATCTTCAAAGGATAAAGAACTTCGAAGTATAAGAGGTAGCCTCTTTAGAAAATTATCTTACATTACATTTGGATTTTTCCAGAGAAACGTGTCAAATATGTCTCGTATAATTGTTCTTCTCTTACTCGCCGTCGTTGTTTGTGTTGGCTGTAAGTACTTGACAATTAAAACAAAAAAACTTTTCGCTGATTCTCCTAATTTCTTTATTTTATCCAGTAATCGACGCAGGCATAATCTGTCCACCCAACCAAGTGTTTAAATTTTGTGGCACCGCGTGCGAGCCTCGATGTGGAAGACCACTACAACCAAATTGCATCGCTGTTAGTGTTACAGAGCTATCTCCAAACATATTTTCTCATTTATTTCAAATTTAATATTTTAAAACATTATTTTAGTATTTAAAATTCATTTAATTTAATTTAATTTAATTTAATTTAGTATTTTAAATTTCAGTGAAAATACTTATTAACTCATAACTTGGTATTATCGAGCATCGAGAGATTTCATATTGCTTAATTTAAAAATTTTTAATTTGATCATATTATATTATTACTAGTCTCAATTGAAGAGAATATAAGACACAAAATAAAATTAAATTCAAATTAAATTTATATATAATATAATAAATTTATATATAATTTTATATATAATACAAATTACTATAATCGTCTATGACTCCACGAAAGATAACCACTTAAGGGTTAATAATTATTAAACTTTTCACATTCTCACTGTGAAAAATAATTAATTTGTTTTTCTTTTAGAAATGCGTGACGGACTGTCAATGCGTAGACGGATACGTAAGGAATTCCTTGAACGAATGCGTCTTGCCAAACGAATGTTGAGATTATCTGTTATTTGTTAATTCGTCGAGTTTGTTATTCGTCTCGCCAATGAATTAAAAAAGAAAAAAAAAATCGTGTAACTTTCTACGAGAGCGAATAAACGATTACCTTTCTCGATAACCTCCTGTTTGACTTTACTCACCCGTTCCGACTAAAATCGACTAACCTCGCGGCTGCTTTGTTTGAACATAAACCCGACATTTGCTCGATTGATCGAAAGGTGTGCAAACGAGACGCGTTATCAGTGAGCCTGAGCACATTATCGATGAGTCATCAGACTCGTATGCCTGCACGTATCAAAGACTAACTAAGCAAATTACGTAGACGATTCAAACTCTGTCGCTTGGGTTTTTTTCTCTTTTCTCGCGTAAAAAATATTGATTTTTAAAAACACTTTTACAAAGCATCAGGCAATGTTATTCGAGAATAATTGATCGACTCAAAGACTGACATTTCATTTCTTTGATATCTTTGCTTCGTTGCACAGTAACGGATGAAATTATGAGTGATCGATCGAGCATGATTTCTCGTTTTATATCAAGTCGTTGCGTGAAAGGCATTAATCACCTCAATAATCTACAAGTGTTAAAATTGATTAGCGATAAGATTCTTAGATTCTCTAGATGTATGTACGTACGCGCATTACAGAGAAATGTGTAATTAAGTATTTCCTGCGTTTAGTGAATTTTTGTTTCAGGTTGTAACGCCTCGATCTTTTTTTTTTTTTTTTTGTTTGTTTGATAAACATTGCCGCGTGTTCTCTTCTAACGACGATTGCAGAAGAAAGATGTTTGAGAAGAAAGTAGATGTATATCTTCAATATTACTAAATTTAAAAACCTTCTTTATCCAAACTGCCTTTCGAATACATTAATACGAAATTGTCTGTTAATAATTGAAAAATCATCATCTGTTGACAGACGTTTCATTGATATAACGATTGGATACCAAGATATTTCTAAAATAAAGGAGGTATGTAAATTTATTTTTGATTCAAATTTGGAAATAATTGAAATATGTAAATATTTAATTTTAATTGGTTATATTTTTAGATAGTAATTTTAATTTTAGTTATCTAAATGTTTAATTTTAAATCTGTTTTGTGGTTTATATTAACTTAACCTTTCGACAGAGTTACCGTCAGTAGCTAAATAAAATTTTATCCCCGAATCTATTTCTCACAAAGTTTCATCTTCTCTATTGGAAGAATAAAACATAAGGCTTTCATGGCTGAAGCTTTTAACAATATAAATTATTTAAGATTTCTTTGTGTAAATTGTGTCCAAAAGGAATTATATCCTACGTAGCAGCTAGTTTCTTTAGTACATCCTCAGATCCTTGATGAAGCTAGTTACGATGTCGAGATACAATTTCTTCTATACTCGGAGATAAATATCAATCTCAAATAAATATTACTGAATTACATATGTTATAGTTGACTTTGATTGATGAAACACAAATGTTAATATAAATAAATATATAGAAATATCTATCAACACTAGAACAACCGTATCAAAATAATCTACATATAAATCGTTATAATTTAATGATAAGTTGATAAAAATTATTAGGTTTCTGTCCAAGCAGAAGTTAATTTTGACAAGAGTATTCACATTTTTTAAGCACTTGTAAAAAAAAAAAGCAAAATTCATATTGATAGGTTACTGATAGCGTCGATTGTTATAGTGTCAAAATAATAAAATTGCACAAAAATTCTATAATGATAACAAGTAATAAATGTTTCTTATGCGCAACCGTCAATTCTAGGAGAGTGAAATTTTTTTGCATTACTTTTTTTATTTTTTACTTATTAAATATTTTATTCCTTCTTGAAAATTCTATCCATCCTCAAATTATTCTCAAATATACGAAAATTCATCGAATTTATTATTGAGAATATTAATTTAACTATTTGTTTTGTGAGGAGGGGTAAGTAAGAAATCGAGAAAAGCAGAAGAACAAGTGGATACTTTTTCTTGTGTTTTATTAGAAACATGACCAGACTTAACGTAAGTGATAAAAACTATTACAATTACTCAGTAGGTATCACTGAATGTAAGTTGCGGTACAATAAATTACACCTGTCCGCAGGAGAATGAAGATTTTCCTTTTTACCAATGCAATTGTCAATATCAGCTTGTCGTGGGAATTTAACATTCGCGAGTAAGAACACACTGGTTCTGTCTGTTTCTCACGTAGCCTGGTTTACACTGGCAACCGACCTCGCATCTCTGTAACAAAAAGTTCGTCACATCAAACGTCAGAGCATTGATAGAAAAATTTCACTCGGATCTGCGTGTATCGCGAGAGATACTAACCAGAGTACAGATAGGTGATGCTGGTTTTTCACAGGTATCCACACACGGAGATCCGCACTGTTTGAACTCTTCATTGGGACCACACTTGTGACTGGCCTCTGGATGTGCAACTACAATTAATCGTTAAATTAATTAGCTCAACAAACAATAATAAAACTCGAGTGAAAATTCAATAAATAATAATGACTCAAGTGATGACTCGATAAACAAATAAAAAATAGAACACAACTCTTTTCTTTCCTTTCAAGATGCTGCTTCCTCACACGTTTAAGATATTTCCTTCTATAATTTTTATTTTTCAGGGTTTTCGATTAGAAGCGAAATATTTGCTTAATGATATTTAACAGATTATTGAACGTTCATTAAATCACATCTGTTTAATAAATTACTAAATGTTTATTGTTTAATTCGTTTGATTGTACATTTACTATATTCACAAATTAACGAAATTCAAAATTAATAAAACGTGTTTAATAAATGTTCACATGTTTAATAAATCATCACAAATTGTTTGTAATAAATGTTTGACTTTTCGATGAAATTAAATCTCAAATTAAATTAAATTTCAATGCGAAATCTAATATAAATTCAATTTTATTTCAATTTCAATTCGAATGATTGACGGATGACACGCGACACATGTCAAAAAAGCGAACGTAAACAAAGCTTCCTGTCCACTTACGAGTGCTGTAGGCAATAGCTACGACGAGAAGGAGTAGAACCAGTGCACGAGCCATGGCGATTTTATGTCGTCGAGCTTTCGTCTGACGTCTGTCACGATCGAATGTCTGGCTTTCATGAGTCGCTGGCTTTATACGATTCCTCGCTTGGCCTTCATGCCCTCCCTCTTTTCTTCCCAAAAATCTTTCCCACGGAACACGTTTTCAATTCGATCTGCGCAGATTAAAAGCTCGAGACGTTCCATCGATTATCGACGCTGATAACGATCGTATACGATAGCGAGTAACAGATGAAATGATGCAACTGTCACATTGATCATTCCTGGGTAAATCCCTGAATCTGTGCGATTTGGTTGACGCGTCATTTTGCGTTTTGTTGGATCACCTGCTTCTGCCTGGAACAATTTATTATTACTGTTTCTATTATTTCACAGAGAGCGATCGATATGTGTATATCACTCATTGTCACTCGTTTATCGAAGAGTTCTGTAATCTCTTCTCCACACTCGTGGAGCTAACTTAATCTCTGTCCACTGTGTACAATTAGTCGTTTCATATCCGATACGGACGCACCTCTTTTTCATCGTGTTCTTTCTCTCGCACGATCTCGAAAGAGACGACGAATGGGAAAATCGAATACGCCGAATTTGCGAAACGAGGTTACGGTGTACGAGGGTGACGACCTTTGACATCCAATTCTTGCCACTTCGACTCGTGTTTACAGCCTAATCTCGCTTCTTCCGAGAAGTCTGTAGCCGTCGCATCTTTCGTCGTTCTTCTGTGAGATTCATCGCACAGAATTGGCTTCGCAAGAAAAACGATCGACAACCGCGTGGATTGAAATTTGGTAAATTTCTTTTGTTGAAAATTTTCCCAATTTTCCCGTTTTATTCCGGATGGAATAAATTCCGTGTCGTTCTTCCGATCTTCCGTATTGAGGAATCTAAAACGTTGCTTCTTGTTTATGTTTTATTAAAGAGACACGGAACATCAGAAGCTTCTTGTTTATGTTTTATTAAAGAGATACGGAACATCAGAAGCGAAAAATCAGCCATTTTGATAGAATTTCATCGAGTAAAGTAAAGAGCGTGTACCAAAGATCGTTTGATCTTCATTGGGCTGCGAGTTTTTTAAAATTCTATGAACTAAAGACACTAGAACTTAACTTGAGTGTTAAGTATATATTAATTATATTATTAATTATTCATTAAATTAATTTAATAAAATATATTTATTTTTAATTTATTTTTAATTTATTATAATATTAATTTAAAATTATTAATTTTAATATTAATAATATTTATATAATAATTAAATAATTTTTTTATATTTTATTATAATATATTTAATTAAAATCTTTAATTTACTTAATTATATATATATAATTAAATAAATTATATCTATTATATAATTTATATTTATATTTATTTAATTATATATATATAAATTACATATATATTATAATTATATTATATATTATTTATATTTATTATAATAGAAATAATTATTAATTTAATAAATTTTTATTAATAATAAAAAATTATTTTTAAAAAATTATATAATTTAAAAATTTTTATTATTTTTTTATTTTTTAATTAAATTTATTTTTAATTTTTATTAAAATTAAAAATAATCTTTTTTAAATATTAATATATAATTATTATTATAAATATTATATAAAAACCTATTATTAATTATTTATTATTTACTAAATATCGATATATACTGTATAATGAGTACTCTGTGTTAGATATTTTATTTTATGTATTATCGTGTACATTGTGTGTATTTTTCCCATTTCTCATGAATGCATAAAAATCATTATGTGTTTGGACAGAAGAACTTGAATTTAGTAGGTTGTCAGATTCTCGATCGATCGCTACAATATCTGGAAACTGAGGGAGTGCTTATCTTCGACAAATATCGGCAATAATTGTTATTAAACATGTCCTCGTGTCCGTGGTTCGTCGTTGACTTTACGCTGTTTGATCTTTGAAATTTCTTAGAAACGAATGGAATACGTTCGAGAACGATGGCTGTCCTCTCTACGCGTCTTTGAATTTTTAGAATTTTTCCCAGTTTGACAGTGGACACTCATCAACGAATATAATATCAATAAACGGATTCGATAAACACGCGAGCAAATTTTATTTTTCATTTAATTTTATTAAATTAATTTTTTTTATTTAACTTTATGCATATAGAATAACACATTTATTGAAAATTTCCACGGGCATTGCGAATTGTTTCTGAAATAAATATCATAATACAAGCAAAGGTTGTAAAAGAACTGAAATGAAACAAGTGACACGATGAAGTGTCGTTCGAGCAAATACAAAGTCAATATTAACGAAGTAAAAAAAGAAAAATTCAATTTAAGATATTTATAACGTTCAATAAGTAATCAGTAAGAAACATAATCGTGACTTTAGTAGCCAGTATTTTTCTCTCTAGAAAAAAAAAGAAAAAAGAAATGAAAGAAGGAAAAGTACCTATTACTATAGTTTACAAACAATATAATGATGTATGAAATTTTTTTTCATCTATGTCGCATTCTTCGAAATAAAGATAACCTTAAATTCTTTAAGTAGAATGCTATATATTCTTTCTGTATTATATAAAAAGTCATACAAGAGAAAAAGTTCGAATATCTTATGAATACATTTCCATATATTAGTAAATAAAATGCTGCGAAATATTCAAAATATTTTTTTTTTTCATTTTCATGTGACACTCAAGATCATCGTTCTGTTTAAACAAATTCACCTTCATTTCAAAAAAGAGCGATGCAAATACAAAAAGAATTTTCATACATCGTCGTGTCATTTGTAAAAAAAACAGTACTGCCTTTTCTTTCGTTTCTTTCACATACTTTCGTTTACAAAAAAAGACACTATCTGGCAAGTCTAAAATGAAAACTCTGTATATATATTATAGATTGTCTATAAATCGTTTCTCTCAACTTGGTCAAGGCTTAACTCTGCTATAGAAAAATACATTTCGTACTTTAAGAAAATGTTTTTCATTGAATTTCTGAAACTTCCTAATAAATCCGGTAGTGGCCCGGTGCTTTGAAATCACGAGCCAATTTTCGAAATATGTACGTACACGCTGTAAATAGTGGATTTTTATTAATTTTTATACAAAGTAAGAGAATCGTGTAGGATTGTTGGTGATAAAATTCAATGTTACAAGCAAGTATAGATAAATTAGTAAATATAATTATACATCGAGGAAAATTAAGGCGCAGTTAAGCTGCAGTTCTGTGAAATTTTTTAATGGGAGAAAAGTGTACAGTTTAATCGGAAATGACCTAAATGACACGATTTGTCCGTCGTTTGTCTGAAAATTCGTCGATAGATGCTTCCAGAAGCATATATCAGTTGTTGGTTGATCAATGAATCATTCAATCGACGATACTCGATCTAATAATACGATACCATTCTGTCAACAACAGTTGACTATCAGAATTAGCACTATCAGATGATTGGATAATAATCGTGGTAGATGCCTGTTTTGGAAATTTTCTCGACAAGTTTCTACGAACAATTCCACGGAGTGATGTGTTTCGACGAGTAAATATTTTTCTCAAAATTATTCGTCAACGTTCCAAAGAGTAAGTTTCGCGAGATAATGCCGGTATCGTTCGCAACACGCGACGAGCTATTAACGAAACCATAATCTAAACGAGGAGGTCGTGATCTCTGACATCGATCGAGATTTGCAGAAAATTTATACGATTGGCCGCGTTTCCTCTGAAACGTGTCAGAAAACGGGACAGACGGTGCTATTAAAAGCAAATAAATATAACAAATGTTTATTTCTCTTTCCAAACATACTGCACAAACGCAAGTCCTATTTTAGTTGGGCTTCTTATATTTTTCTTCATCCACGCTTGAAACCACATCCGTTTAATTTTAGCACCTCGAGTGTGACTCATTTGCCGGAGAAAAATTGCTTCGCGGAATTACTTGCGAAACAACGAGCAGAGTAATTATTTAGATTAGATGTCTCATCTCGTCGTGATTAGAGATATTGACAAGCTGCGGATATTTATTCATTTTTTTTCTTATGAAGCTCGAGCAAAGAAGAATGAAAGCCACGCGGTTATTTGTCTTTCCTACTAAATTTTGTGCATGTTGTACCATATCTTGGCTGTTTTGCATATTGCGCACTTGAAATTTATCGCACTTTGAAATTTTTAAAATCCACAGTCTAATAATGAATTTTGCGTAGTTCTGCATGTAAAAATTTTTCAATTATAATTTAAACATTTAAAATTTTAAATATATTTTAAATAAATAAATATAAATATTTTTAATATAAATTTTAAATATAAATAAATAATAAAATATAAATTTAAATATATATAAATAAGTATTTTAAATATAAATAAATAATAATAAATATTTGAAATTTGTATTTTAAATATAAGTAAATAATAATAAACATTTAAAATTTGTATTTTAAATATTTAAATTTAAATAAATAATAATAAATATTTAAAATATTGTATTTTAAATATTTGAATATTATTGAAAGAAGTATCGCACCTTGAAATTTTTTAAATCCACAGTCTAACAATGAATTTACAATTTTGCGTAGTTCTATATACAAGTGTTTTTAATTATTATTTAAATATTATTGAAAGAAGTAAAAATTATTTAAATTTTATTGAAAGAAGTAAAAATTATTTAAATATTATTGAAAGAAGTAAAAATTATTTAAATATTACTGAAAGGAGTAAAAATTATTTAAATTTTATTGAAAGAAGTAAAAATTATATAAATATTATTGAAAGAAGTAGGAATAAAATGAATAGCCTGAAATTTAAATTCTTATAAAATTAGAAATATAATTCTTCTAATAAAATTAGAAATATATTCTTATAAAATTAATTCTTATAAAATTAGAAATACTGACGATTACTCACGTTGGTTCTTTATATTCTTTATTACATAGGCTACGATTGACACACACAGTTGCCCTTGTTTTTATAATATACCGACTTACATTCACAAGGTTCCGTGCAAGACTGAAATAGAGATAGTAATATTCCTATTGTAAGAATCTTCGTTTAACTTAATTTTTGCAGAATAAAATCTTTTCAATCTTCGAATTTATCATAATACAAACACTATTCCAATAATTGATTGCTCTAGTAATAATCAAGATTCTATTTTATATTTTTCTTCTCAGTTTACCATTTGAACGCAAATTTCTTGAGAAGAATTCTCACACGTTCTTGGACAGGAAGGAATGCATATCGTGTACTCTTTGTTCCTTCCATTGTGTCGGCTTTACAGAATCTAATGTCGAAATTCATAATCATGAACGAAATATGTAGACTACGGATTTTTATGCATATAGTAACAAATTTAAGAAAAAAGAAATATGTAAAATTTGTACAATGAAATAATATTTCTATAATATATTTTATATTATATTTAATATAAATCTATAATATAATATATTTTACGAAATACAATATATAATATAATATATTTTATATTATATTTCGTAGGTAAAGCAATTATCTATTTTTTTTCTTAAATATATCCTCAAAAATCTGAATTTGCATAAAAATCCACAATCTAATAAACGAGTAGTATTAGTAATATACAAGATATCTCACAGATTACTTCTTTGTAAAATATACTTTTACAATTTTTACGTGATACTACATTTATTCCAGATAACATAAACGTAAATTTGACTTGTTCAATACACGTCGTTCTTTTTTTTTTTTTTATAGTAAGAGATAAACTGAGCAACGGTAACATTTAAAATGGCCAAAAAATATTCGACAATAGAAATATTATATAATATGAAATAAAAGTATCCAACAAAGTTACAGGAATATTAATAAACGTTTATAACAATTTATATTTATAAAACGTTCAACAGTTATTCGACTCGTTTACCACGCTCAATGGTTTCACCAGCAGCCACGAAAACGCTGTTAGAAACGGCTGAAACAGTAATGCCTTCAAAATATTTTGGTTCCGTTGACAATTTCAAGAAATAACAGCGTCGAAGTTTCGCATCGAATAGTTTATCATCTTTTTCTTTTCTATTAATAATTTAATCGTCTTTTTATGCTAATGAATAGATAGTGCACGGAAGTTAAAGTAAATAAATGGTTTATCGTTTGACAGTGAAGATAAACGAATGGAAAGTCGAAGCGATGTTTTGCCACATGGTCTAACTGGAATTGTTAATTGAAATAGTTGAGGAGCTTTTTAGAAAAATCTGTCGATCCAATTTTTACTTTTAACGAGATTAATTTCTACTTATTTTACAATTAACAGATTAATTTCTACTTACTTTTACAGTGCTGCGATTTTAGAGACTTTTAGAAATTGTTTTTAAATATATATAAATAAATTTGTGTTCTTCGTTGTATAAATTCTTTCCTATTCTTCAATTCCTTCGATATTATAGTCCTGCTGTTGTAATTAAGTATTAAATAAATATTAGAAATGATAGAACCATGATTAAAAATTTCACTACTCATTTCAGAAAGTGTGGAAAATATAATTCGTACGCCCAATGAAAAATCGTTTAAACTCTTACAAGTAAACCAGCGGATTTTTATGCAAATTAATATTTTTGACAATTAAAGAAATGAAATTAAGAAAAGTAAAAATATTAGTTTACGAACGAAATGTCGCACTAAGCGGCATTACATTTTGGATATTTTATGTATTCTTTCATATTACATGCATCCTGTGCAATTTTGCACTTTACAATTTTTTATAAATGCGTAAAAATTCGCCGTCTATTTATAACTTCGTAGAAAAAAATTATACAGTAAATTTTGAGGGATTGATCTATAAAGAGGAGACTTGTACTTTTTTTCAGAAAGTTCGTCAATGAGACAAAGAGTCAACGTAACAAATGCCATGGTTAATGCTGTTGTCAGATTTATTCCGTAAAAGAATAAATTTCCAGAACGAAGATTAGATAGTATAAGACATTGTGCAGCGATCTCGCAGTTTCTTTTTATATTAAAATTTTAGTTTATTTAAGAAGAACGTAATTTATCTCGTGCGTTTATAATCGTTCAAACGAGCTGATGCTCATCTCCAAGTTTTGTTTTTGTACATGATCCAAATATCATTATGGCCGGTAATAAATTGTAAATTGAACGACTTTCTTCTTTTTCCTTTGTAGTTGAAATAATTTCAAAATAATTATCCTTTCTTTATACAATATTAATGTCATTCTTAATAATCACGTGACAAATTATTCAAAGGTAGTTACGCATTCGAAAAATTATTTATGAATATAGTGTCTCTGTAACTTGTAGCAAATGACAACTATGATTGAATATGTATACAAATTGTGACCGATAAACAAATAATAAATGATCATAGTGAGTTTTTCAAGGACTAGTTATTAAGTATAAAAACAGGTAGTTGTTACGAATTTTCACGAAAACTTCACCAGGCAATCGAAACATATATTCCAAGATGTCTCGCGCAGCTACAATATTCCTTTTCGTTTTCGTCGCTTATCTGGCCAGTAAGTGCATTTATTGATTCCAGAATTTCATTTTAAACACTCGGTCAAAATTTCTATGTGCATTTTCTTTTTTTTTCCCCTCATAATACAATACTTCAAAATATTTCTTTGTATTAAATTAATACTACTTTAAAACGCTGTAAACATTTTCGTTCGCAACAATAATTTCAAGATAAACGGAACTCAGTGTAGTGTAGAATTTAATTTTTTGTTTTTGATGAAATGTAAGATCCTCTAGATCATAAAGAAAAAGGAAGTAGAAACAATAAACCGAATAAAAGTGAAACTAGAGACAAAAATGGTACTTTATGATAGAAATATTTCCCCATTTGTAACTGATCACTCTACATGCTCTCGATTCCATTCTGTTTAATTGCGCACTTATTTCGAGATGTACTTTTCATGCTTTTATTTTATTTTATTTCATTTTTTGTGTGCCTTTTTCCGATATGTATATAGTAAGCGGCGCAAACAGCCACAACAAGGACAGCAGTAACGACAGTGTCCACAACCTCATCAAGGCCCGCAACATCGACGGTGCCCACAAGTTGGACAGCTCCAATGGACCAAGCGGCCCCAATGAACCCAATAGGCCTAATCACCCGAATGAACCCAATAGACCCAATGGACCCAACGGACCCAACAGGCCTAACCACCCGAATGAACCCAATAGACCTAATGGACCCAACGGACCCAACAACCCCAATGGACCCAACGGACCCAACAACCCCAGTGGACCCAACGGACCCAATAGGCCTAACCAGCCGAATGAACCCAACAGACCCAATGAACCCAACGGACCCAACAACCCCAATGGACCCAACAGACCCAACAACCTCAGTGGACCCAACGGACCCAACAACCCCAATGGACCCAACAGACCCAACAGACCCAGTGGACCCAACGGACCCAACAACCCCAATGAACCCAACGGACCCAACAACCCCAGTGGACCCAACAGACCCAATAGGCCTAACCACCCGAATGAACCCAACAGACCCAATGGACCCAACGGACCCAACAACCCCAATGGACCCAACGGACCCAATGGACCCAACAACCCCAATGGACCCAACGGACTCAATAGGCTTAACCTCTCGAATGAACCCAATATGCCCAATGGACCCAATGGACCCAATGAACCCAATAGGCCTAACCACCCGAATGAACCCAATAGGCCTAACCACCCGAATGAACCCAATAGGCCTAATCGCCCGAATGAACCCAACAGGCCTAATCGCCCGAATGAACCCAACAGGCCTAACCACCCCAATGGACCCAACAGCCCCAATAATCCTAATGGCCCGAATGAACCCCATAGGCACAATGAGCCATCTCATGGCTCCAATGGATCCAACGGTCTCGATGGTCTTAATAACTTGAATAGTGTGGTCAACGACGTAAAGTGTGGTCCCAACGAAGAATTCAGTCATTGCGCACCTCCTCGACATTGCCAAGCTACGTGCAAAAATTCCGACGTAATGTGTCCTGATGTTAGTATTATTCAGTAACCATATTCTTATGTCTAACATTGTTAAAGTAAGCTTTGCAGCTTGAGTCGCGATTTTGTAGCTTTTATGGCTTGGACCTCGAAGATTTAAGCGTTGAGCTGTAAACGCTCGAACTCTTAAACTTGGTGACTCTAGCTAGTGTGTAAATTGCATTCGGATGACGATTGTGAACAGCGGAGGATCGTAGATTATCAAGTATTCGTGCACTTCGATGATAGTGGCGTGTCACTCAAAATACGCTTCTTAAGAGCTTCGAAAGTTGACTCTTGAGCTTGAACTTTAGTTTAACATTAGTTTTGAAGACTTTAAGGTTGAGTCTTGAAACTTCGAAGACTCGAGCTTCGCCGGAGCTTCGTTGCTTGAAAATTGCCTCGATTTTTTTACCTTTCGTTTAATTGTAATAATTTCCTTGTGTGATTTTCAGGCATGTGTCCCTGGCTGCCTCTGTGCTTCTGGATACATCAGAGATGTTAATAATCACTGTATTCAGCTTAATCGGTGTAAAAACTAATTTGACTGGATCAATGATGGGCTATTCTTGAAAAACAATAATTATCGAAAGGAGTAATAAAACCACAGGTGTGCATAAATATCTATTTGTTTATTTCCTTCTTTTTACAAAGTTGTTCCATATGATTGTTCCGAGTGGATAATGAGAATAAATGCAAATTTTGCGTGAGCCTATTACGCTTGTTTGCGCTTATTTTTCGGACATTATCAATCGGTGTTTGCGTGTGTAATATTAATCTTGTTTCAAGTATGCGATAGTGTGACGTTGGAAACGACGTAATTTTCATTTGACAATCTCTTCGTTTCGCGAATTTGTACATATTTCGCGGCATTGACGAATCGATGCGTTCTGGCAATTTCAAACACCAATTTATTACTGTCACTGGTTTTTTATTTGTACAAGCTTGCGACCAATATTAATCTATGAACAGACATTATTACTACGGAGGTCCCAAATACAAGAGGGAAAGCGGGAAGAGGGTATCAAATCGATAAGAACAAGTGATTTATCGATTGTGCGAGGTTAACAATTTTCTGGAGCGACGCAGGTTCCTCTGCCGTTTCTCAGGTATCCCTCTTTACATTGACAACCGATGCTGCATTGCTGGAAAACGTAACGACAAAAATTAGTACGCATTTCCGAAAGTCAGCATCGTAGAGAAACACATAAACATAAATTGAAAGAAACGCAAACGAAGCTGAAGATACGTAAGATACGTAATTAGCAATTTTGTTTGATTTTGTTTGATCCGAAAATGACTGTGCAGAAAACTTCGTAGAGCCATCAGTTATTTTTCAAAACTTAACGAACAAAATTGAGAAAATGGACTTGTCGCAATTTTTCTCGAATGTTAATACCAACCAAGGTGCAAATGCCTGCACGTGGTTTGTCACAGGTGGGCTCGCACGGCGTTCCGCATGTTTTAAACTCCTCGTTCAGCCCGCATTGTTGACCAAATGAAGCTTCAACAGTACAAAATCATCGCGTTACTTCTTCGCTTCTTAATTTCGATCGGCTCGACATTATAAGACAGAATGAAAGTAAATTAAACAGTTGAATATCTATCTAAATATTTCTCCGTTCGTGCTCTTAAATTTTCCACAAAGAAAAAGTCAAACCAACGAATGTCTTCGTTCAAAAAACGTAATAAAGCAATTCTTTTCAACAGTTTCGAAAACATTTATCTTTCATTCTTAATCCTTTAACTTGGATGCTTGACGAGTGTACCTCCCGTAGAAAAATAAACACTTCTTGAATAATTAAAGCTCTACTCGTCACGAGTGAAAAAAAAAAAATATCTCGCAGTATTTGTAGTTTTGTTACGATTTAATCCAAATTTACGATAATTGCATTTATCCAACGATTGACGAGCACACGTTTCCAAAATAAAAATTTCATCGTCAAAGCGTCAATAATACCAAGTTACGTGCGTGAAATGTTACGCTAATTTTTTAACAAACACTACTCACTGGAGAAGATGGCCATAATTACGAGAAAGGCAAAGACGTATCGGGACATTGTCGATTCTTCGTTTTATGAAACACTTTACGAATGATGCTAGTGACACTACTGACCAACTAGTCTTGGCCTTATATACCACTGTTACGAAACTATATATATACTTCGTCTCGTTCTTGATCTTTGTCCGTCCACTATATCTCCGTTTTTCTTCACGTCGCTTTCCTCCTTTGGACTAACGCTAATGCATCAGGAAAACGTGGCTGGTCAAATGACGAAACGCTTTATCTGTTCAGTTTTGCTCGACGATATTGTACTATGTTGAACAGCGACTCTAATTAAACACCTCGAGTTCGTAACTGCATACGTGTGCGATGCAAGAACGATTAGTATCGTAACACTACTAATTTCCATTCATTAGAACGAGGAAAATATTTATAAGACACGGTGAGAAGATTCAGGTTCTCTGATGCAAAATTTTCGATCGCCAGTGGATTGTGAATATTTGTTGACTCATGTTTGTTAAAGCGTAATCGTATTTTGTTTATTCCAATTTATACGAAACAAACTCGTGAAAATACAGATGAAAGAGAAAATACGTTGGCGAAGTACGTGATACATAACATATAATTATACCATACATATATATATGTCTGAAAAGTATTACGTATCATGGAAAAACTCGGAACATTGCTTTGCAAATTTTTTTAGTCCACTCCTAATACTCTTAAGTAGAATTAAATTTAGTCCTTTGGATTCTTAGAAATGCGAAAAATCTAAATGTTTAATAATAAACGAATGACAAATCAAAAGTGCGTTCATCTTTAAACGTTGGATATTTATTCCTAATATATTTGATCAACATATTACAATACGTCATCCTCTTTCAACCTCTAATAAATAAATATATAATATAAATAAATGTATAATTATTTTATTGTGTATAAATATAATCTATATCTATTATATTATATAAATTATTCTATTATTGATCTCTGATACAGTCTATACATTGAAAGAGATAGATATTGCAAACTATACACTATATTTCGTTTATAGTTCACGTGTATTTATATTTTTACAATTACAAATACACATTCTCGCATCTCAAATGTGTTTACATCCACGATCGATCACTTCGAACGTTGTAGCCATAATTATCTACGATTACAGATTCAGAGAATAAAATATAAATACTAAATAAATAAACAAAGGCAAGGTATCTGAAGGGAGGTTTCCTCTCGCGTAATCCAGATATCGATGGGAAACGCTGCGTCAACCGAAACGATTCTCGCCCGTATCGATCCGTCAATCGCGAGGCATTGTGAGGACTGTGTGCAATTAGCGTTGATTCGAACGAGCGAGAAGGGTCGAAAATTCCGTTTGATTCGATTGGCAAATTTTCGAGTCGCCGGCTCGATCAATCCAGCCAGAGCTTCTCCTATCGACGTTTGCTTTTACCTTAAATGTTATTTCGTTGTCGGCGGAGACAACGAGCCAGCGGATTCGAAGTTTTCTCTCTCTCTCTCTGTCTCTGCGTTTCACTGTTCGCCGCGTTTTATTCAGCGAAACCCAGCGCCGACAATCGAATATCCGACAGTCAAAATGCTATTTATTATTGAGCACTCAGCACCGACTTTCTCCGTTTCGCTTCCTTTTTACGCTCACCCCCTCCCACCCCCTTTCCGATAATAATTCGTTTCTGTAGTCGAACGCCCCTTTTATGAAATTTATTACCTCGTTTCTCCTTCTACTTCTCAACGATAATTCCCTTTCCTCTCCTTTGTGTTTCGTTTTATAAGAAATCGATTAGAACGTTAAAGCCTCGTTCTGAGTTGGTTAAACTGTCTGGATTCAAGCAACTCGAGGCCATTTTATTCGATTATTCATTTCGTTCGGAACGTTTCTTCAATTATTTACGCTGGTTTCGTTTGATCGAATCGCTTGGACAATCTGTCGGAGATTGAAATGCATCGACTCTTTAACGGAATTTGCAAGAATTATGATAAATGAATTTTGATAAAGACATTTAGATGAATTACGATAAATGAATTCTGTGATAATGAATTTTGATTGAAACGTACTTGATTCTGTGTCTCGAGGATTTGCATTTCTGGAATACATACGTACTTTCAATTCTTTCGCAGATAGATATTAATGATTCAGTAAGAAAACGATAGAACATTAATTATAGTTCTTTTTCTTTTGCAATGTTTGATTTCAATTGCTTGAAAATTTCATCAATCTCTTACCATTTTCACTCGTCTTACCAATTTACCATTTTCTACATGAATAAAATTATTCTTTCATATGCTGTTGTATAGTTTCATGCTTCTACTCCATTTTTTAATAAATTAATAAAACATTAAATCTATTAATTGCAATTCTTTGCGATATTTCGTAACATTAACCCCGTCATTTGTCGTCATCGATTCGTCCAATCAATTTACCATTTTTTTATAAAATGAAACGCTACAATTTTTCTACAATTTATTATTTTGTTGTATAATTTCCTCCTTTATTGATATCTTCCACAATTGAAATTGAACATTAAATATTCATTAACTACAATTCTTCGTAACATCGACAGATGCCGAAATTTTTCGTTGATTCATTCAATCAATTTTCTATAAGATATAACCCTCTTTTTTAAAATTTGCTACTTTATCGTATAATTGTATTCACTGTATAATTTCTGCCTTGTATAGCATTTCCCATTAAAAATGAGCTATTTATTAATTACAGTTCTTTGTAACATCGATAAACCTCAACATTTCTCTTCCAATCAATTTTCTATAAGGTAAACCACTCTTTTAAAATTTGCTACTTTATCGTATAATTGTATTCACTGTATAATTTCTGCCTTGTATGGCATTTCCCATTAAGAATGAGCTATTTATTAATTACAATTCTTTGTAACATCGATAAACCTCAACATTTCTCTTCCAATCAATTTTCTATAAGGTAAACCACTCTTTTAAAATTTGCTACTTTATCGTATAATTGTATTCACTGTATAATTTCTGCCTTGTATGGCATTTCCCATTAAAAATGAGCTATTTATTAATTACAATTCTTTGTAACATCGATAAACCTCAACATTTCTCTTCCAATCAATTTTCTATAAGGTAAA